TTAATTAAAATTCCGAAACAATGGGTTATTGCTCAACATATTCTTGGTCAAACTCAATCTAGCAGAATTTAAAATAGCTTTCATTCCTTGAATCCACCATGCATTTATGAAATATGAATTAATATTGTCCCACATACTACTCTTACATTAATCTACCAAATTAAATAAAATGTCAGTGTTCTTGCAAATATTTGGTACCACATTAAAATTCATCACTTCATCTAACATATATACATCCTCATTAATTCAGATTCATATTAATTTTTCTGTTGTACGTGTGGATATTAAATTTTTATTTTTATTTATTTTTCTTTTTCACTTTGAATTATTTTTCAAACACATTTTACACAACATGTACTATTTTTCTTGAAATATTGTTTTCATTTTTCAATGTTTTAAATAGAATAAAAATAATATTTAGTAACTCGAAAAATAATTCAAAATAGTAAAATTCATAGTAAATTGTTATTTATTTATTTATTTATTTATTATAATTATTATAGCTGTTTCCAACCATTTACCTCTGTCCAAAGCTCACATGAGAATTATGCTGTTTTTGTTTTTTAATTGTTGTACCTTTTCCATTTTCATGTAGGGATCACTTCCCAGTTATGAACACCATTCTTGTAATAAAAATAATAATAATTATTAATCAATCTTCATTAAAAAAATCACAATATAGCCAAATTAATTTGCATGATTGATCCAAAAGTCAAAAAAATTGATAACCAATTACCACAAGAGGTGCCATTTTTGTACACCTTCATTTAATTTATTTATTAAATTCGAAAGTTATAATTTCCAATTAAATGGCTATGTAATTAATCTAAAATGTTAATTAATGGATAAGTTTTTTTAAAAAAAAAATTAATTAATGGTCATTGTGAACTGAATTTAGAGGAAGAAGAAAAGATTAAAATGATTTAATCGTCAATTTAAACATTTGTTAATGAAAATAATATGGTGCAAAGGGCTTGTTTATGAAACGCAATTTATGTATACTATGATTTGGTCAAAAATAAAAATGCAGTGATTGGATCGTATGATTCGATAATTATTGGGTGGGGCCCATTAGGATTAGCACTGCCTAAACCCTAACAAATGATTGTCACCAAATCTCCACGTGGTCCAATAATCTTTTTTTTGGTCCAATAATCATTTCCCCATAATCAAATGCTTAGATCACTCAATAATCAAATTATCTTTAATATTAGTAAAATAAAATTAAATTAATTTACGAGCCCAACTCGAATGTATTGATTTTCTTTTAAATATACATTTCGTTATTTTTTTTTTTAGCCGAACTCGAGTTCTTAACAAATTCATAGCTCGTTTCAACAAAAATACTGATTTAATGTTTTGTTAACAAACGTGCTTTTAACAAACGATGTTGAATTAAGTATCGTATTATTATAAATAAAATAAAATAAAAAATCACATTTCAAAATTGGTCCAAAAATGCACAGAGAAGTACGTACCATTCCATGGTCCTATTTGTCCCAACTCTTTCAAAACAATAAATTGAAATAAAACAAAAATTAAAATAAAAAAAAAATAAAAAATAGAAATAGCTAAAATGTTAAAACCATGTGCTATCTGCTGCAGAAAATAGCTCAACAGCAGTCATTCAATTAAAATTATTAAATTACTAAATTAATAACCAATAATTATTAACTTCAAATTCTGAGAATCTTTCTCAGCCATATTATCCGATTCCAACAACAATGGTCCGAAGTTTATGCAATTTTCAATAAAATTACATAATTAATAAAATAAAAATTAGGGCTCAGAGTATGTGCAAACAAATGGAGAAATCTTTGTCGACTAGGCTAAGTCCAATCAAGAAAAGTCTAATGAAACCTCAAACTCAAATCCAACTGCATGAAAAATCTCTCCTCTTTCGTCGAGAAATCATCGATCTCGATCGAACATTTACGTGTAATAAAAAGGTCAAACAGTTTCAAGAAAACAAATAATCTACAATTTGCCAACCTGTCCTAAACATTGAGAAAATAAAACATTTCCTGTAATTCAGTAATTCCTCCTTTGAGCCAACAACCAAAGACTTGATCAAACATAGGTACTAGGCTTTTATTTATGTAGGACATTGCAATGTAATGAGAGACACACATGGACAAATTTTTCGAAAAACAAAAAAATAAAAATCGAGTCTTGAAATTCATATCACCAATAAAGGAAAACTCCGATAATCCCTCTTTCCAATTTTACCATCCATCGTCAATCAAAGACGTGACATAGTTAAAATGCCGAAGATGTCGTCTAATCCATCACATTTCGAATCAGGGACAGAAATACAACAAGATATGGTGGGAAAAATGTCACATTTTTATGATAGGGAAAAAAAACATAGCTTAAAATAGGGCGATTGCCAAGGGGTACCATTGTCATAATCATATAAATAAATAAGACAATGAGATAGAGAGAGTTCAACGAGTACGATGGTTTAGTCATTCGTTCCACGAGAAAGCCAATCTTGTGTGCTGGTCCGGCGCTCTGCTTCTTCTCTTGAACAAAGGCTCGGGTGATGATGTAACCGATGATGTCACCGCCCATGAATCGGCTGAGTTATCGGAGCTGAAGTAGGCATCGATCACACCGCTCGGGCTGCTCGGGATCGACTCGTGCTTGCGCTTGTTGCAGGATCTACGGCTCAGATTGTCCATTACATCGGTGATGAGTTTATGGCAATCTTCAACCTTTTCCTGTAATAGTTTGTGATCAAGAAATGAATGAGTCTTAATTGATATGACAAAGAACAACATTTTTTTCCTGTAATAATTTGCAATCAAGAAATGATTTTTTCTTAATTGATATGACAAAGAACGGCCTTTTTTTTCCTGTAATAATTTGCGATCAAGAAACGGATGTGTCTTAACTCTTAACCGACACGACAAAGAAAAAACACTGTTGTCGAATTCAAAGCTACTAATCGAACCAACCTTGCTAGCTCGCAGCACATTCATAAGTTGATCCTGATATTCCAATGCATCACATGTCTGTAACTCTCTAATCACATAGATCATCGTTGCAGCAGCAATTACAGAAGGAAGATAAGCCACCAGCCTACAATCTGCATTCATATATCTGTATCTATTAGCCTTCAATTTCAATATAAATCGTAAACAAATCCATCCATTAAACACATGTAAAGATATGGTCGTTCTTGAATTGAATCGATCTACGTACCAGTGATAATAGAGAGAATGACACTTTCACACCTCCTCGAAAATTCACAATGCCGGTTGTTAATCAGCTCGAATCTCCTCGCAATGTGGTCGAAGAAGGAGGCTGGTGTGACAGGATTCATTTTCCATTGGAGTGTAGAGAGCACTAGAAGCTCCATTCTCTGAATAGTCTTTGCTTCAAACAAATACTTCGATTCTTCTACCTACAACAAAACCCCAAATCCAAAAAAAGAAGAAAAAAAAACCCCCAAATCAATAACACAAACAAATGTCCTCACACAGGCATTTAAACAAACACCTACATTGCAAGTGCAGAACAGAGAAGAAACATACCTGTAGGTCCAATAGAAGAGGAACCTGAGTTTCCTCCACCTTTGCAGCAATGGAAAGACACGCAACAGCAGCCAATTGACCCATCCATGGCTTATCCCTCTGAAAGCAGAGACTCGTAACAAATCTATCGTAATAGTCCACAGCTAAAAGAGCAGTAATTGCGTTGAACCCATAGTACCCAATCACCTTCAGCATCCACTCAACGCCCTGATTCCTCGCCGTCTTCAGACACCCATCAGAGCCAATCGCATCGTAAGCCGAACGCGCGGCCCGGTTCAGGGCTTCCTCCACCTCCTCCTTGGCGAGAAGGGCGGCGAGCTCGCCGTCCTCCCAGAAGAGGTCGTGGTCGAACAGGAAAGTAAAGGGGCTTTGTTGAGTTTGACGAATCTCATGAGAAGCGGCGGCGGCGGGGGGTGGTGGTGGTGCAGCATAATCGTCGAGACGCTCCTCCTCGCAGAAAAGGGCGTCAAAGATTGGATTTTGGAAATGAGAAACCATCTCCTTCTTCTGAGAAGAAGACACAGGGGCCTCTGCTCATTATCTTCAGGACAGGAAGCAAATGCTCAAGGGATTCAATCTTGGGCTCAGTATCATTTGTTCTTTGTTTTCTTCTCTCTCTCTCTTTTTTTTTTTTAATTTTAATTCTTGTCTGTGGTACAGAAGAAAGAAGAGAGAGAGAGAGAGAGAGAGAGAGAGAGGGGTTTTAGAGAGAGAAAGGGGAAGAAGGAGAATGGGGGGCTAACCAATGGAGTTAGCAGCGTAGGGGTTTTTATCTCACAGACCTTTCACGCCTGTCCTCTTTTTTTCTCTGCTTTTCTTTTTTTCCCTTTTCTTTTGGCTTTTTTCTTTTCTTTTTTATTTATTTATTTATTTATTTTATTTATTTATTGATTTCTGTGTGGAGAAAAATGGCTTAATTTCACTTTGCACCCTTGAAATATACAATTTTGGCACTTTGCACCCTCAAAATAAATTAATAGCACTTTGCACCCTCGAAATACAATAAATCATGCATAATGCACCCCAAATGATTTTTTAAAGCTAAAAATATAAATTTAATATTTGTAGTGATATTTTTTTAGGATGCCAAATGTCAAATATTTTTTTTATTCATCAATCATTTTGAAACTATAAAGTTCAAAAATAAAAATACATTCCATCAACATATTTAAAAATTATATTGTTTTATCAAAATAAAATATTTTACGAAAAAAAAATCATTCAGCTATTACGTTATCAAGTTATCTGAAAATTATTTTTTCTTCCAAATATTTTCACCTAATATTTTACAAACAGTGACATAAAAGATCCACAGTCGAATAATTTAGTGATAAAAGATTATTTTTTTATTTTTCTTTTGTAAGATAATGTAGTTTTTTTTAAATAATCCGGTGTAATTTTTATTTTTTCGCACTTTGTCCGCTCGAAATTAGGTTTGAGGTTCAAGAAAACAACAATTTTTTTTTATTTTGTACCCCAAAAAGAAAAACACCAATGAAAAATAAAATTGCCTTTATTATTCAATTGAGGGTGCATTGTGAATGATTTATTGTGTTTTGAGGGTGCAAAGTGCTATTATTATTTTTCGAGGGTGCAAAGTGCCAAAATGGTATATTTCAAGGGTGCAATGTGGAATTAAGCCGGAGAAAAATTGGAAGTGTATTTTTGGCGCCCAGGAAAAATATTGGCATCGTCATTACTTATGCACAGTACCCATATATACATACATATACATATCAAATTCTAATATTAATATACTACACTTAATAATCTTGTTACTTATAGTTAATGTTAATTAAGGTTTAATTAACTAATTTGACAGTATTTGATTAGTTTAGAGTTCAATTATGTGTTAACATTCATTAGATTTTGATGATCGCTTCCATCCAAGGAACTCGATGTCATGGAAAGAAGGCATCGAATGCTCGTTTGATTCGTGCTATGGTGAATTGCTGGAGTTAGATGTTATATTTGGTTATTTGTATCGGGTGAATTTCAGTTCTAGATCTGAGTTGTTATTATTATTATTATTATTATTATTATTATTATTATTATTTATTTATTTATTTTGTGATGCACACAAGAAGTGTAATTAGAAAAGGTAAACCAAAAAACATCTTTAATACTTCTCGGTTATTAGTGTTTGTTAATTTAATCATTGCAAGATTAATGGTATAGACACAGTGCTCAAGTAATTAAATTAGCACTAATGCCGCCTAAGTTAAATGATTAAATCAAACGTATAGCACTACTTTTTCCAGCTTCAATGGTAATTAAGATAGTAATTATGTTTTCAACACAACTAACTTTTAGAACACTTAATGTAAAATTTCTTAGAATGAAATGTGGCTGAAATTTAATTTATAAAGTTCTCTTATATTCATTCATCTGTGTACAATTATAGAAATGCATTTTATACAAAAAAAAAATGTTCGTGAAGTTAGATTTTTTAATTACAAAGATACATGCTATTTTATTTATATTGTGAGATAATATATTCTATATCATATTTATGAGAACTTGAACCATAAAAAAGATACAACATATTTTATGTATTTACATTTGAATTGATCAAATTTGGTCAAGAACAACGTTGAATTTCCCCCACATAAGCAAGAGTGCATGACC